CTGTATACAACATTGTATCAGGTGACAAATCCTGGATATACGCGTACGAACCCGAAACAAAAAACCAGTCACGAGTTTGGGTGTTCGAAAATGAGTTAAAGCCAACAAAAATTGTTCGTTCACGGAGTGTTGCAAAAAAAACGGTGGCCACGTTTGTCTCCAAAACCGGCCATGTTACGACTATTCCTCTTGAGGGACAAAGAACGGTTAATGCAGAATGGTATGCTAGCATTTGTTTGCCACAGGTCGTTTCTGAACTCCGTAAAGAGAACTGCAACCGCCGCATCATCCTCCATCACGACAATGCGAGTTCTCACACCGCGCACAGAACAAAAGAGTTTTTAGAGCAAGAAAACATAGAATTATTAGACCATCCGCCGTACAGCCCCGACCTTTCCCTAAAATACTCATATACAACAAATCTATAGATGGATAAAAAAATATGAAAGAAAATATGTTTCTGTTACAATATTTCTCGATGTGAATAATTTTGATACAAAGTTATTTTATATGGTTAGTAAAAAAATCCGTAATGGGAACTGGAGCTCTGACCGACCAGAGATCAGTACACTGCTGTTTCTGTGTGGAAGATAATTTCAAAAAAAGCGTTCAGTGACGTTAACGTTCATAAAACATATTAATTCAGCTGCAAAGGATTAATGTAGTCATATTTTGCACAGCTTTAGGAACTCGAATCACGATAAGCTAAATTTCACTCCGAATCCAACGAACTTAGTTGTTGCATGAAAATGAAATATGTAGCGTGCATTTGCTAAAGTTTGTACAGTTATAACAAAGTCGACGCTTCAGCGACAAAATACTATAATAGAGTTACAGACGTATAGTAATATTTTAAACGATTATAATAATTAAGGTCTTTGATATTTATTACATTGAATAAGAAAAAAAAGGTCAAGGACAAAAAGTCCGTACCGAACCCGTGTTCGCTTAGAAAAATTTAACGGCACATGCGGACTTTTGCATCGGTATAGCAGGACAGTTCAATATGCTTTATCTGCCGCTATTACCATCTTTGGAGTTTTGAGGATAATATAGCCGTTGTTGTGTCTATGCAATTACCACTTCCAGCTCGAGATATATGGCGGCTTTCTCGTTTTAATGTCTACGACTGTTGCCACTACTTTACAACGGGTGCTCTTTTTCTTGCCTCATATAACCATAAATTTACGTTGTAGATGTCTATGGGCTCCGATAACCACTTAACACCGGGTGGGCAATGAGCTCGTTAATCTATCTAAGAAATAAAAAAGAAGTGTGGTGTCGTGAGACACCGGATAGGAACGAAGTTCCTTATTATAAAAATATTAATTTTAAGTTCTATTCGTGGTATAAAGAAAATAAAACTGGAGGTTTCGCAACAACCCACGGTCATTCGGTAACGTGCGAACTTATTGTGGTAGACTTCATTCACGGTTATTTGCATAAGAGTTAGTGTATTGCGCAAATGAACGCTCTGAGATCGTGGTCAATGAATGATAAAAATATGTTATTTTTGTACATTATTACAAAATCAAGTCGTAGACTGTGTGCACTACTAATAAAAATCTTACGTTACGGACGTTTTTTCCCGGTTAGGGTACCCCTCCGCATCGTCCCATAAGGGACTTCGTTCCAAAAAATAAAAACAAATTAGTTTACCACACAAACTTTACAGTTCAAGTTTAAATTTAGACAAGTTAACGCACAACACAGCACATCGTAGACTCGTAGAACGTAGCACCTAACTACGGCGCGCCTCCACCAATTTATTAGTTCCCGTAAAAGCAAATAAATACATCTTTGTTTAACTGTGTTGCATTGTTTACGACATTTTAAACGATTCTAATGAATAGGTTTTAAAATTCCATTTCTATTTTAGTCTCGTGTATGGTGAGGCGAGGTGAGGTAAAGGTTGAACACTTCATTTATCACATAATTTGTAAATATTTTGTTTGTATCGCTTTTTATTTTTGTTATAGAGCCCTAAGCACACTAAACTTTTAGTAGTAAACAACAATTAATATTTTTAAAAATTATTTTTAAGTTGATTTGAAATGTTAACGCCATTTCTTTCGCAAAAAGTAAGTTGTTAATTTAAGAGTCAATTTTTATTTATTCACGCTGTCACTAACCCTGTAATAGAATTTTTTGATATCGGCAGTAAAAAATCTGTGGTTTGGCCACAATATAAACCAGCTATATTTATGGAAGATGTTCAAAGTATTGCTTCGTTATTAAGTGCTCAGAACCAATAAACTGTCGAACTGGAAATATTTAGAAATGTTATTAACATAGACGAAGGCTCAATAAATTTAGATTGAGAATTTTAATTATGAATTTTCATTAAGCCTTTATTAAAGGCATGTTATTCGTGTTATGACATAAAAAACTACTAATAGAACGATTTTGTCACTCAACGAAGTTAAACGACACTTGAGGCCTATAAAATCAAAGGCAGCTAAATCCAAGTCTGTCAAATATTCAGGTAAACTACAAAAATCGGCCTTAAACACGTCATTACGGATCCTCCCGATCCATCGAAGTACTGCTTTTGCTAGGGCCAGTCTTAGCAACACTCCCGGTTTGAGAAGCTGAAATAGCTGTTCGGATAGCTATGATATTCTTTATTTTAAAGCAGATTTATAAAGAATGAGAATATTACTAATAATCTGAATTTTAAAGGATAAAACTTCGTTTATTAGTACTTAATACTGAGTAAGAATAAAATTTTTGAACTGAATTTGTTAGAGATTTAGCTGCATTTGTTATAACATGAAAACACTAAAGCGTGTCCAACTAACTAAACAAGATAGCGCCATTGTTCATCTATTTTACGACATTATGGCGTTTAGCTGTCTTTGATTTTATAGGCCTCACTTAATCAATCAATAACTTCGTTACGACAACAAAACGGTTCAAGTGAAATCAATCCAGTTTAACTGGAGATTATCTCAGGTGGCGTGTCAATGTGATCGAGTGACTGCTGTTGATCGATTCGACTGGACATGACAGTCTATAATGTGTTATATTGATATGCGCATATAAACGAGGTCTGAGGATAACTTGATTAATTAATCGCTGTAACTATGGACGTTAATGCTTTCATGTCGTTGGCTTGGTGGCCAGTGAACCTGATTACCAACTGTATTATGTGCGCAGTTTGATTCCCAGTTAAAGTCAATATCTTCGCTGTACTTTTTCAATGTCGCGTACTGAAAATTGTTTTGTGAGTAACGTAAATGTAAGTATTTCAACATTCGACACAAATTTATTACGAGATTTAATTGTTACGATAATACGGAAGCTTATTTGTTCAAACAGAATGAACTGACAATTATGAATGTGCTCCGATCGGTTAAAAGAAGAGATATTCGAAACAGAACAAGATATTAATAACAAAAATGATAAGATTAAAACCTTACATTACGATGTACAATAATATTTTTTAATTAGTGCTAACATTGCTAGAACGCGGTTTCGGTTCGCCTCACCACGTGCTCGCGTGGTCTTCAACTGATCAGTATGCGAAACCCGTGCGCACATGCCGCGCCACGTATCCACACCACCAGCTGCAATATGCTGAAATTGGTACGTGGCCCGAGGACACAATAATCTACAGAATTCCTCATATCTAAACGGCGATATAAATCAAGAAATATACATCAACCTAATATATATATTATACAGTTAAATACCGACCAGTTACAAGTATCGAGTTTAATATATGCATCAATAAGTACCTACAATCAGGAAATTCTCTTTGGAGTTAAGCGCCTAAGCCCCAAGCTGGCTATTGTGCACGTGAGACAGATATAGGGATGAGTAGCTTAACAGGATTAAGCCCCAGGCGGCTTCTGATTATTCCACTGCTTGATTTACGATGACGCGATACGGCCGAGAAACGCAAGCCTCCTTGCCTAATAGAGAACTACATAGCAACGTACAATTTATAGTGTCACACGTGCCGATACAATCAATTCTCAGCCACTGAGGGAAACGGGTGAAATATGAGAGGCCGTGTCGACACATACCCGGAGGGTCGCCGCTCGGTACTTTCGGTCACTATAATGGTACCTACATCTAATGGAGGTCAACAAGGAAAGTTTTGACGTAACGTATATTTACAAGGGAGAAAAAAGACATTTAAATGCGGGTCGTGGCCGTGATTAGACCGAGGACCGGTGCGCATTTCGACCCAAAGCTGCGCGCACGTGAATTGAACGATTCCTTTAGCAAAAGACATTTCCTTATAATACCTTTCCCCTAAGCCGTTTAAATACATAACGGAACCTTCAAGGGGCTTACAGGAATGTTCTTACAAAAGAATCAGGCATAATATTGAACGGACTTTACGTTGAAGCCATGTTAATACAATAAAAAAAACTTAAAGTTAATAATATTTCGAGTGTAATTTAGAAAATTTATGCCTCGACAATTTAAGAATAACGCATTTGAACCAGAATATACCTTTTAATTTAGGCGGTGTCGAGTTAAATGGTGACAGTGGCTGAATCAATTTATTTTAGGATTCCTCAGATTACAGTAAGACAATGGATAAAAAACTTTTACTAGAGACAGGGCGTGGAAAACGCAGGCTGATCAACCTATGCCGTAATTCCGTGCGTTTTAACAGTAGGTTAACGTTTATGAAGCTGTGATTCCGATCTTATACATATCTCAAGGTGAGTGCTCACATTCACAACGTATTGTGCAGCCTCTGATCAGAGGAAAACGTGATGAAAGTACACTTTTACATTTAAATATATTATTTTATAAATTTAATTAGATAAATTAAATTCAGTTCCATATTATGCAACGTTTCTCTTTTAGTTTAAAATTAAAATATATCGCCATGAGAAACGTTTTGGACTTAACTTATTATTTATTGAAAATGTATTAACTGAAATAATATTGCATCAGTGTAACTTCGGAGCCGCGTGTTTAATACAGTCAAATATGCATGTTTTTAGCACGAAATGCTTAAGTTCGTTTCCACCTACCTGAGTTGGGCTGGTTGTCCGAGTTAGGCCGCGCCGACGGTGCGCCATCCCTCGCCTCTACTTCTAAAGCGTAGGCGCCCTGCTTCTCCCTGTCGAACACCACCTTAGTGAAGATCTCGCCGGTCTGCATGCTGATCTCGAAGAAGTCTTTCCCTTCATTACGAGGTGAGTCCACTATATAGTAGTACACCTGTCATCAAATTAATAATATTATGAGACGTTTGATTAACGCTTGACTAGTTTTGTTAAAAAGTAAATTTATGGTCACCTCGCTAATACAATTTACAATTCTTATAGACTATAGACTGACTCGGTGGAGCACTAGTTACTGCCCTTGATTGCTTTTTGAATGTTTCGTATCTATACAGGGTGTCCCAGAACTCAACGTCAAGCCGAAACGGGGTGACAGGATTGATTGTAACAATCATGAGAAAAATTAGAAAAAAATCTATCCCGTGCAGTTTGAAAATTATGGGCATTTAAGAAAAACCTAGAAATTTGGTCAAACTGTAACCATTTTTTGGTTATTGTGGTTAACTTTTATTATTTTTGTTCATTGACACTTTGGAACCGTAACCCTAAATAACATTTCTAGAACCACAGTCAAAAATAATGACGTGAAAATGTTTATTAGAAAAAAGATCTCGTCAAAATACAGTAGGTACTTATTCGTTTCGGTACGAGACCTGCCAGAGCCACACCTGACACGTGTCCAATTAGATCCTCGAGTTTTTTTCGCAGGAATTCCACGTAAAAATGATGTCAAAATGCTAAAAATGTAGCGGGAAAAGCGACAGCGTTGATTTTAATGTAATTTGTCAAAAAACGGAGTAAATTGACTCGCAAACGTTGGATGTAGCGTGTACAATTGAATTGTTTGTCAGCAATAGCATTATTTGTGACAAACTATTCAACGTTTTTTTGGTTGTAGTTAGGCGAACTAGCCCCCTATCCATCTAGTTGACTTAAATGCCGTTCACCCCGCGACCCCGTCCTTAAAGCAGGAATGTGGAACTGCTTCACGACAAAAACAGGGGCATCAGTGGTACCTCGTGAAGTCGTCGTGGCCCAAAGGATAAGACGTCCGGTGCATTCGTATCGAGCGATGCAACGGTGTTCGAATCCCGCAGGCGGGTACCAATTTTTCTAATGAAATACGTACTTAAGAGATGTTCACGATTGACTTCCGCGGTGAAGGAATAATATCGTGTAGTAAAAATCAAACCCGCAAAATTATAATTTGCATAATTACTGGTGGTAGGACCTCTAGTGAGTCCGCACGGGTGGGTACCACCGCCCTACCTATTTCTGCAGTGAAGCAGTAATGCGTTTCGGTTTGAAGGGTGGGGCAGCCGTTGTAACTATTCTTGAGACCTTAGAACTTATCTTTTTTTCTTTTTTTTTTATTGCTTAGATGGGTGGACGAACTCACAGCCCACCTGGTGTTAAGTAGTTACTGGAGCCCATAGACATCCACAACGTAAATGCACCACCCATCCCGCGACATAAGTTCTAAGATCTCAGTATAGTTACAACGGCTGCCCCACCCTTCAAACCGAAACGCATTACTGCTTCACGGCAGAAATAGGCAGGGTGGTGGTACCTACCCGTGCGGACTCACAAGAGGTCCTACCACCAGTAATTACGCAAATTATAATTTTGCGGGTTTCATTTTTATTACACGATGTTATTCCTTCACCGTGGAAGTCAATCGTGAACATTTGTTGAGTACGTATTTCATTAGAAAAATTGGTACCCGCCTGCGGGATTCGAACACCGGTGCATCGCTACATACGAATGCACCGGACGTCTTATTCTTTAGGCCACGACGACTTCAAAATGGAACGACGTCCTTTATTCTAATTGAAAAAAGTAAAACCAGCAATGAAACAATTTTCTGTTTGCGTTAGTGGGTTGTTATTTTAGGAGTTTGGATCGTAAGTTGAAAGAGTGCTGTCGTATGATCTGTTCAGTTCAAACCAGAGATTGAGCCGTCGAGAGAAACTTGTTAATGACATAATGAGATCTATTAAGATAGTAATAGTAAAATAATTTTGAAAAATAACATGACTACTAATAGCCCGTATTTCGGGATATCTCAGTTAAAGCTTTGTAAAAATAAATCTTTTTAACACTACATAAGAATGTTTACATTTACTGGTGGTAGGACCTCTTGTGAGTCCGCACGGGTAGGTACCACCGCCCCGCCTATTTCTACCGTGAAGCAGTAATGCGTTTCGGTTTGAAGGGTGGGGCAGCCGTTGTAACTATTCTTGAGACCTTAGAACTTATCTTTTTTTCTTTTTTTTTTATTGCTTAGATGGGTGGACGAACTCACAGCCCACCTGGTGTTAAGTAGTTACTGGAGCCCATAGACATCCACAACGTAAATGCACCACCCATCCCGCGACATAAGTTCTAAGATCTCAGTATAGTTACAACGGCTGCCCCACCCTTCAAACCAAAACGCATTACTGCTTCACGGCAGAAATAGGCAGGGTGGTGGTACCTACCCGCGCGGACTCCCAAGAGATCCTACCACCAGTTGTAACCATATCTCAAAGTGGGTGGCGCATTTACGTTGTAGATGTCTATGGGCTTCAGTAACCACTTAACACCAGGTGGGCTGTGAGCTCGTCCACCCATCTAAACAAATAAAAAAGGTATATGTTATGTATGTAGATAACAATATCACACAAAAGAACTAAAACTTATGAACATTTGTTCAGAAGTTAGCTGCTAAATCAGTGAATGTCAATAACTCTAACAGTAACCATTTTTATTCAGAAATAAACAACATTTGGCATTCACAACATTAATCATTGACATTGCCGCACTCATTCGGATTACATTATTCGTAGCTCATGTTTTGTAACAAAAGAAATATAATATTAATTTTAATTAAAAACGTATATTTAAAAGGCTATTCGAATAAACAAAAACCAAATAAGAACACATTTCATGAATATATTCTATTCGAATTGTCTATGGAATGGGCCATGAAGCCATCAAAATTTAGATATGCTTAGTAAGTAACTAGTCTCATTTAATCTCTTAGTAATATTGAAGCTTTAGTTACTAAAGTAAATCCCGCCAACGTTTTGAATTCAAACAGATGTTCTACCGCGCTAGATGCGAGATGAGGCTTCTAAGGTCTACACAAACTAAGAAAACTTAGTAATAATAGGGGAAAGTTAATTAAGGATTCCAAAACTATATTGGTTGATTAGCGGTTTAGGAATTTTGTTCATAATTGTGAGTTTGAAATTAAAATATATACATATATCTTTATTTTTTAACGAACTTTCGCTCAGTGAAGACTCAACACGAAATCTATACTAATATTATAAAGCTGAAGAGATTGTTTGTTTGAACGCGCTGCGTGCGCTGCAGAAACGGTTAAGGTTTCGCTAAAATAATGTATGACAGAATTGTTCCCCTTTAAAAGTTCTAAAAAAAAGTCCGCGACAGCATATGTCTATATTTTAAGGTTGGCTCACTATAACGTTTTTTATGCTAACCAAATTTGTTCTAAAATAAAGCATTATTTGTGAACTTATCAACGCGGACGAAGTCGCGGGCAAAAGCTAGTAAAATTATAATTTCGTGGAAAGAATCCGTTAACTAACAGGTTTAAGTGAATAAGTGTAACCGCAAATATCTTCGTACATTTTTTTTTAGTACCAATCCAAAGCCATTAAAATAGCTTGGACAAGTTAACATTTACTCTGTAATATTGGCACTGTCGAAAAAAATATATTTTACTGAAATTGAACGCACGAATAAACCGCAATGTGACATTGCCAAATGAAAAACAAGAATAATTTACTAGTTCTGTTTGCAAGGCAATCATATTAACGTTATTTGCGAATATTTCGATATTGATTCGGTATTTGTATTGAGTTATGAAATAAATTTCGTACAAATAAATGAAATTTACTTTACAACGTTAGACGAGTACGAATTTTCACTACATTTGAAAGCGGTCAACACACTGGATTAATTAGGAAACGATTATTCTGTAATGGACACATTAAGCTTCATTCTAAAGATACAAATTCGATTTCTTAATTGCCCTATTCAAAGGCCATTGACAGATAACGAAGCCATTAGTCTAGGTAAGAAAATAAGACGATGTCTTAGGATAGTGTGAGCTGTGCGTATCATACTTACAGCCGACGACGTTCTACTACAGACGGATGACTGAGAAGTAGCAGAACCAGGTCTTTTACATCTGATGGGTTGAAGGGCCAGGCCTCCTTACGTCTAGTAGTTTGGCTCACAAACTGAATGCCCTCAACTCATAAGACGGAAATCTCAGTAGTAACAACATTACAGTATGGCCTTCCTATCCTTCAAAATGGACTGAACGAATGTATGGCGATTTAATCAAGAAGGATAGTGGTACTACCAGTTAAGCTATGAATCTATTAAGAGGACTATAGGAATAATTTAAGAAGAGAAAACTAACTGGAGAGTATTTATCGCTACCACGGATAAATAGCAAACGTCCTTTGCCCCCCATTGAAAGGTTCTTATCAGTAATCGGGGAACCGAATATTCTTTGTGAAATGGAAAAAACAATTTCACATGTTTTTATTAAATACGCATTGGAAACATACTACACGTTTAATTATTAAAATTGGATTATCAAAACGGGTGAGTATCGCGTTTTTATTCAGTGGAAAAGCGAAAATGGGCCCGGTAAATCGTCACGTTGCACAAAAAAAAGTGTACACTTTGTTCAGCATTTATTCCGTGTCTGTGCATGTTATCGTGAATTATTTATGGAGATACGAACATATGAGCTCGCGCAATGAATGAGAAAAATAAAGCATTCATAAACTATATGAATTTCAGTTTTGAAAACTAATGGGACCATTCGGTTCGTTTTATGATTAAACTTAAAACATGTTCGCGTATTGCGTTTACTGCCATATTCACCTACATTTTTTTAGAAGTTAAATAAATTATTAACGGTCGGTCATCTGACCCCGAAGTAGGATTCCCGATTCCGTGGAAAACCAGAAATCAATATAGAAATTTACGTAGAAACACACATGTTCGTGATACGAAAGTTTGGAAAGCTGGGCCCAGCACTCAGGAGCGCTAAATGATGCGCTATCGAGTTAGTCTACATGTTGTAGAGCGGATTTATAAAATAGAACAATTCAATATCTGTAAGACTGA